AAAGCCCCCCTAAACTCCCTAAACCCCCCTAAAGCCCCCCCCAAACTCCCTAAACCTCCCTAAAAGCCCCCTGAACTCTGCTGAGCACGTCGCAAGTCCAGGAAAGCCCGTGCGGCGAAGTAGGCTGCTGCAGACCTTTGCTGCCTCTGCTCCTGAGAAAAAAAGGTTTCCCGGGTTTAGAGGGCTTAGTCATTTAGGGTAAACCCTAAACCCTAAACTTTAAACCCTAAACCCTAAACCCTAAACCCTAAACCCTAAAACCTAAACCCTAAACCCTAAACCCTACTCTAGACATCACAGCTGGTCTCTCACAATGGTGCATGTGCACGTGTGCAGGAATATGGGCATACATGTGGAGGCTCTGTGCGTCTGCACGCCAACACGGTAACCTCGAAGTCGGGCTTCGGGATGTCCTTAGGGTTTAGGGCGCCCCATGCCAACTGGGGGCCTTAGCCTTAAATCACCCTAAACCCTTTTGCTGCCGGGCTGCTTCAGCAAGCCGGGTCCCTAAACCCTAAAATCCTGCACCACCTTTAATCACCCTTAACTCTACATACCTAAAAACCCTAAACCCTAAGCCCTGAACCCTGAACCCTCTCTCTCTCTCAGGCATTCGAAACGTCAAGCCTGCCAGGGACAGCTCCTGAACCCTGAACCCTAAACCCTAAAACCCTAAACCCTAAACCCTAAACCTTGGGAATCGGGGGCTTCCTAAAGCTCAGGGTGGTAGACCATGACTTGCCTCAGCTTCTCGTGAAGCGAAGATCGGCCTGAGACGCCTCCCACCCATAAGGAGCCCTAAACCAGAAACCCTAAACCCTAAACCTAAACCCTAAACCCTAAACCCTAAACCTAAGCGCTGACCGTCAAACCCTCAAACCTCAAACCTCAAACCCCAAACCCTGAACCCCAAACCCCAAGCCATGCCTGGCTGGCTTCCGGCCCGCCGTCGCGCGCGCGCCGGACCAGGACCTTCTGGGCCTCGTACTCGAGAGCATTCAAAATGTATTTCGTAATAATAGATAGCAAGGATATTTTACATTATCTAAGCATGTATATATATATATACATATTACTATCAATTATTGTTTTAATGGATTCATTATTTGTTTAACAAAGGAAAAAAACCCGGGACCCCTATTTATCAACCCTAAAAAAAACTCTTCTCTTTTTGAGGAGGCACCTAGACCGAAACTAGCTAACCCTGAAACCCTAAACCTAATCCCTATCGATCCTCCCTTTTTTCCACCAAGGAAGGAGCTCTCTCAACCCCTAACTTGGTCCATGATTGGCCTTGGTCGCCAGCTCCCGGACGTCCTCCAGGCTCGTAGCGCCTCGCAAGCCGACAAACCAAAAACTCTTGGGAACGGAGAAGCTCTGCATATAGGGGTTTCCGAAAATAGGGGGTGGGGTACCCTTGTTGGGGTTCCTTTCAGATTTCACAGGATTGTATAGTATGTCGGGGTATATACGGGATCCCCAAAAAGGGGTTTTAGGGGTTGAGGGCTGAGGGCTTCATGACAATATAAAAGGCCTTGGGAGTTTTGACGCTGCAGGGCTTAGGGTGGAGGGCTTCACCAAAAAGTCCTCTTCTAACCAGGGAATGGGGAATGAGGTACCCTATATAGTCCCTTAAAGGGTACAGGGCCCTCATTCCCTCATTCCCTGCTAACCAACAGTAAGTCTTGCCTAAACCCTAAACCCTAAACCCTAAACCCTAAACCCTAAACCCTAAACCCTAAACCCTAAACCCTAAACCCTAAACCCTAAACCCTAGCCGATCAGATGGGAGGCAGAATCCTAAACCCTAACCCTAAACCCTAAAACCTAAACCCTAAACCCTAAACCCTAAACCCTAAACCTTGGGAATCGGGGGCTGCTCGTGCGCTGTCCTAAACGCAACGTTCGCCGTGGCGGCCTGCTGCCTTGATCTCCACTGCAAGGTCATATTGCCTTAGGGGCTGAAACCCTAAACCCTAAACCCTAAACCCTAAACCCTAAACCCTAAACCCTAAACCCTAAACCCTAAACCCTAAACCCTAAACCCTAAACCCTAAACCCTAAACCCTAAACCCTAAACCCTAAACCCTAAACCCTAAACCCTAAACCCTAAATCTATCTATATGTATATGTATATAGAAAGTAGGACTTTAGGTAACCCAAAAGGTTATAAAGGTTGCCTATCCGGCCCCTAAGTTGCAAGACGCCCAGGTAGTACAGCAGCCGCGGGTGCCCGGGATGATCTTGGAGATCCAGCCGCACAAGCCGCAGCTCTTCTCCTTGTAGGGTTTAGGGTTTAGGGTTTAGGGTTTAGGGTTTAGGGTTTAGGGTTTAGGGTCAGCTGCAGCTTCCCTCTGACTAAGGGCTTCGGCTCTCGCACTGTCTCTGACTAAGGGTTTAGGGTTTAGGGTTTAGGACTAGCAGCTGCCCAGTTGAATCACATCGGGCCAGGGCGCGTATCCTGTGCTGACGCGAGGCCGCGTCCCTTGCGCTTCCTTCGATTTCCACCACCTCGGGACACCAAAGGAACTCTAGAATTGGGGGTCATATACCCTCTACTACTGCAATAATAAGGCAACAAGAACCCTAAACCCGAATTCCTATAAATAAATATACATATATATCTATATGCCCTAATATTGGGGTCATATACCCTCTACTACTACAATTCCCTATTTAAGGATATGTATATATATATATATGTATATGAGAACCCTAAACCGTTTTTAGGGTTCGTTTGGTTTCCAAGGCACCGACCAGCCCGTATCCTTGATTTGCTCCGGCAGGCCCTGCTTCTCAGAGTTCCGGTACACTGGGGTCTCGTGGACCCGGAACCGAAAGTACCAGCGACCGTCATTGCGGAAGACCTTAGCTGCTTGGTATAGCCCAGAAACCATACTACAATGGCTTGTTTTGGGGTTGGTTGCTTGGTAGGGGAACCTTGAACCCAAAAAAAGGGAACAGGGTACCACCGGGCTAGCAAGGCTGCTGACAATAGCTATAAGAGGCACGCAAGCACAACCCCTCGCGCATGTGTGTGTGTGAGAGAGAAGGGGCTGAGAACCGGGCGCAGTCCGTCAGCCGTTCGCCTCGTGGAGGGCAATGAATCTACCCGCTCATCGGGGTAAGAGAAGCAATGCTAAGACCATGGTCCTTCGTACAACTTGCGGACATCCTTACGCTAGCTCCCACGCTTGAGGTCGTTGGAACGAACCATTCTCACCCGGACGAATAACTCTCGCACCCCCTTTCGACACCCACACGAATGACATGCAGTGACGCAGCGGCGAGACGCTCTGCTTGGGGAAGTCGGCTGCTTTTAGGGCCCTATAGAAGTTCTACTCTAGCCACATCAGCGACCGTCGTCGGACACCAGATCATACGGGGAGCAGCAAATAGAGGAAACCAGCTAGCACAAAACATCAGACCCTGAGCCTGACCTAAACCCCAAACTTAAAAACCCTAAAGAATGAACAACAAACCCTATAGCCCCTAAATCTTAGCAACGCTACGAAACACACCCTAAGCCCCGTTGTGTTAACCCAGGACTGCTGACCCCTAACCTACTATTGGCTCAAGAACCCCAAAAAACTAATAATAATAATCATCATCATCGTCATCATAGTAATCCCTATATTCCCCTTATAAGGAAGAATACTTTTGCATTTTTGGGGGTTCTTCAGCAATTGGTAGTAACCCTAAACCCTAAACCCTAAACCCTAAACCCTAAACCCTCAGACCCGGAGCTGACCTAGGGATTCTTTGCCGCCGCGGCGGATGGCATAGACCGGCTCCTCACAGCGTGGCAGAGAGCGAAGGCTCCGAAATAGGATTTAGGGTTTAGGGTTTAGGGACTATAGTCCCCATTAAGGGCTGTTAGTATAACGATGAACATCCCAACATCTACACTCTGAAACAAACCTTGTAAAGCTTCTAAACCCTCTAGACACTATCACTATCAACCCTGTCAACCCTGTCAACCCTAAACCCCAAACCCTACAAACGCCAAGACACCACAAATGCAAAGACACCAAGCTGGCCTCCCCTCCTGGCTCTGCCTGGACCCCCCGAGACTGCAGAACTTGCAAAAGCCCCCCTTGCCATACTTGCTGACAAAATACTAACTGTACTTGCCTAATAAGTACCATGAACCTCCAAGTGCCCATACACCTGAATCCCTCCCCAGCCAGACCAAGCAAACTTCTCGGCCCTGTTTGGAGGTTCACGGGTAGTATGCCGCCAGAGAGAGAGAGAGAGAGAGAGAGAGAGAGAGAGAGAGAGACAGAGCGAGAGCGAGAGCGAGAGCGAGAGCGAGAGCGAGAGCGAGAGTTGCAAGAGGGGATCTTAGCAGAACAGGTTTCTGCGTCGCGCGCGAAAACTATACATGCCCCAAGTCCATTCATATGACTGCGCATGAAGCTCCAAACTATGAACACTCTGTGGGGTAGGGCTTGTATTGCGAGCATCCACTAAAAACACCCATACACACAGACTCAGCATGACCCTGAAAATTCTACAAGCCCTATAAGCCCAGGCCCTATGAACCCTGTTAACACTACAAAGCCTACAAACTAGATGACCCCCCAAAAAAACACAAAAAAACACAAAAACCCTACAAATTCCTGACATACACCCTTTTTAAGCCCAGACTTGATATGCCCCCTAAGCCCTGAACCCTCAAAACCTGCGGACTCACGGAAGGGCGCCGGCTCCTTGTCTTTCAGCGGCTCGCGCGAGAAGGTCTCCACCTCGACTGCGGAAAGTTGTCTCGGGCTTGCCGGGTTGCTGCGATGGGGTTGAGGGATGATATCATGGAGTTGTATAGGATTTTGACAGGGCTTAAGGGTTGTCAAAGGATTGCAACAGGGTTTAGGGGTGATAAAGGGTTATAGGCTCACGACAGGGCTTGGGGCTTGTAACGGAATTATAATAAGGCTTAAGGTTTTTTTATTCACAGATGTTCACAGGGTTGATCGTGCTGGTATGATGTATAGGGTGCAGAGGGTCTTCGGTGCTTATAGGTTTTTAGTGGCCAGGGTGTTTATAGGTCTTTTCAAGGGTTGTTTTATAGGTCCAGAGCGTTTGCTTCGCCTTCGGACGCATGTCCGGCTCCACAAGCAAGACGTACGTCATGTCCGGGAACCGTGCGTGCGACTCCTGGGAGCTCGGGGATTAGGGTTCAGGGTTCGGGGGTTTAGGGTTTGGGGTTTAGGGTTTGGGGGTTGGGGGTTTAGGGTTTAGGGTTTAGGTTTTAGGGTTTGGGGTTTAGGGTTTGGGGTTGAGGGTTCTCAAGAAACCCTGACAACCACATGCTGCTGGATGCCTGGGCGCCCAAGGTTCGAGGGTTTACAGGGCAGGGCTTTCGAGGTTTAGGGTGCAGGGTTTCGGGCGATCATTGTGTTTAGGGTTCAGGGCTAGTATAGGGCTGAGGGTTTAGGACAAGAGTGTTTCGGGTTATTATAGGGTTTCGGGGTTTAGGGTTTAGGGCTACTATAGGGCTGTAGGGTTTAGGGTTGATATAGGGTTTGGGGGTTTAGGGTTTAGGGCTACTATATATGTGTATATATATATATACTTAGGGTTTGGTTTAGGGTTAGTTGAAGGGAGTCAAGGTTTTGAAGGGCTTCGTCATCCGGGTCCTGCAATAGCCTGCTCTTGGCGGCGCCAAAGCCGTCGAAATCGAAATGATAGACCTCCGCTGTTTAGGATCTGTGGTTTAGGGTTTAGGACGCAGGGTGTAGGGCTCTGTTTTACAAAAGCCCTTCTTGGACATTCTTGGACAACTACACCTAAAGCCCGTTTGTTTTGCTGAAACCCAGGCCTCCTGTTACGGATTCCTCGGGATTGAAGGACGGGGTATCATGTCGGCAGTCGCAGCTACTTTGTTGCTCGGACTTCCCTCTTGTCCCTCCTCAGCACCATTCCTTCCCCTCCTTCCCTTCGTCCCTCCTTCCTTCGTTCTTCCTTCCTTCCTGGCTTTCTACCTTCCTTCCCGGAAAAGTTGCTTTTAGTCCTGAAAGAAACTTGTAAATCAGCTGCTGTATTCTGAGGGTAGTTCCATGTTCCCCTCTTCCGGGTCTTTCATCGGGGAACCCTCATATACCCCGTATTCTCTACCCGAAACAGCCCACGGGACCATAATTCAGGACCCTTTAGAGAAGGTAAGGGACCATACTCCCTTAGACAAGCCCCAACCCCTGTGAGCCATCCTGTACCCTGCCTGGAGCGGCTTTGCTTCTAGAACTGACCTCGCGGCGCCCGCGGAGTCGTCCTGCAAAGAGGCAGGGGGAAGGGGCTGTGGGGGGTGGGGGTGGGGGTGGGGGTGGGGGGTGGGGTGGTGGAGTTGGGGGCCTCGTCTCTTGTGCAAGCTGGTTCGACAGGCCCTGTCTTCTCAGGTTTCTGGGGCCCTTCCTGCGTGCGTGCATCCAGGCCGAGGAGGAAGGCATCGCCCACCTGATCAAGAGCCCAAACTGCGCCGGGTCAGCTACATCGCCTGGGATTTGGGCTGGGGTCAAGTAGCCCTAAACCCTAAACCCTAAACCCTAAACCCTAAACCCTAAACCCTAAACCCTAAACCCTAAACCCTAAACCCTAAACCACAACTTAGAAGGGTTTTTCTTGCCACTTTAGAAGGGCTTCTTGGGTGGGTTGTTGCGCTTGGATTTCGGGCTCAAAGCTTCAGACGCCACTCCCTTTCCCTGTTACGGAGAGCCCCTGAGTACTTAGGGTTTAGGGTTTAGGGCCCCCTAAGATTCGCTTCCCATTCTAGCACATGAGCGTAGAATGGGCATATTCCATGGGTAGTAGGTGGGTAGCTTCGTTTTCTTGGTTTTTGAATCCGGTTAATGTTAGGGCAGGCTCCAGGGCCCCAGGGGTCAACCCTAAACCCTAAACCCTAAACCCTTAACCCTAAACCCTAAACCGCGTACGCTTGGAGTGTCATGGTCCCCTGCTCCCCCAAAGCAAGGCGAGGCTGCCTGAAAGGGTCGTCACCATGGGGTTTCTGGTTTAGGGTTTAGGGTTTAGGGTTTCGAGTTGAGGGTTGAGGAGGCTTAGGGTTTAGTAGGTTTCTTTTGCTTAAGGGTTTCGGGTTGAGGGTTTCGGGTTGAGGGTTGAGAGGCTTAGGGTTTAGTAGGGTTCTTTTGCTGAAGGGTTTCGGGTTTTCGGGTTTTAGGGTTTTTTTGCGCTTCAGGGTTTTAGGGTTTTGGGGTGTAGGGTTCTGGGCTTTGGGGTTTAGGGCTTCGTAGCGCAGAATGAAGAATCCCGAGCCACGGACACCGGGATCTCCCGCCTGCTTCCAGGCCGGCAGGTGCTTCCTCAGCAGGGCTTCCTCATCCCGGCCGAGCATGGCCACCTCAGCTTGGCTTTGGTTTAGGGTTTAGGGTTTAGGGTTTAGGGTTTAGGGTTTAGGGTTTAGGGTTTAGGGTTTAGGGTTTAGGGTTTAGGGTTTAGGGTTTAGGGTTTAGGGTTTAGGGTTTAGGGTTTAGGGTTTGGGGTTTAGGGTTTGGGGTTTAGGGTTTGGGGTTTAGGGTTTGACTTGGTTTTTTAAACGGGCCCCCCCCCCCTCTCTTTTCGGAGGAGGGGGTAGGGTTTGGGGTTTGGGGTTTGGGGTTTGGGGTTTGGGGTTTGGGGTTTGGGGCTTGGGTTTGGGGTTTGGGGTTTGGGGTTTGGGGTTTTGGGGTTTTGGGGGTTTGGGGTTTTGGGGGTTTGGGGTTTGGGGTTTGGGGTTTGGGGTTTGGGGTTTGGGGTTCCTGTCATGTCAAAGACTTCTTTGGGAAACTCTCTCACAATGACGATTCAAGGTTTCTGGATAATGATACGGAGTTGCCCCGCCACTTGAAAAATCACTTTCGGAAATCCCAAACCCTAAGCCCTAAACCCTACACCATAAACGCCCTAAACCCTAAGACCCAAACCCTACACCCGACATCCTAAACCCTGTGTAGGGAACCTACTTACCAGATTCACAATGCTCGGAGTCGGCAAGAAGACCCCCAGAGCCTTGGGGACCAAACGAACGCAACAATTGGGATCATATACCCTCTACAACTAGAAGTCCTCTTCAGGTTTATGTACACTAGACATATGACCCTCTACTACTATTAGAATTCCGGCTATGGTATACGTACCCTGAAAAAGCAATTCAGGGTTCACTTGGTCGCCCAGGAGTTCCTTCTTCCTCAAAAAACACCAGTGGGAACTGGGAGGGAAGTCCAGGGCTTTCTCCATAGAACTCTGGCGCTTGTAGGTCTTGCACTGGTCTTACCTCCCTGCGGCGACGGCCTCAAGCCCTAAACCCTAAGCCCCTCCGTTAGCCCTAAACACCCAAACAAACCAGAAAAAAAAAAAAAAACACCAATGCTAGAGATAGACTCGGAACCGGAGCCTCTGCTAGTTCTTTGGGATAAAAGAAAACCCATAGGCCCTGTGAGTCACAGCCTACCCTAAACCCTAAGCCCTAAGCCCCTTTTTTACATCTGGGCTGGGTGGGGAATGCCAGAAAAAGCAGCAGCATGCACAACCTGATCAACTCCAACCCTAAACCCTAAACCCTAAACCCTGAACCCTAAACCCTTTTGCAGCAGGCTTTGCAAGTTCCCTAAACCCTAAAACCTAAACGGCTGGGCCCTGCGCCAGGAGCGTTGGCAGGCCCTGGCCCATGGCCGGTGCGCCGAGGGCCAGGGCGCCCAGAGTAAGACGAGCCATGGCGCTTCCAGGACTCATGGAGCTACACCCTAAACCCTAAACTAAAAACCCTAAAAACCCTAAAAACCCTAAAAACCCTAAAAACCCTAAAACCCTAAAAACCCTAAAAACCCTAAACACCCTAAACCTTAAGAGCTTCTGGGATTTGCTTTCTGCTATAGGGCTTGGGAGTTGAGGAGGTGCAGCCTTAAATCTCGAATCCCTTGGACGGCACGTCAAACAAGGAGCTTGCTGCTTGGAGGATTGGGTTCTCCGGCTGAGTTGGGTTCACGGTTGAGTCAGGTTTAGTCGCTCACTCTCGCACGAGGCCGGCAGGATTCAGAGTTCACAGTCTTCTTCTTCAGGATTTGGTTGGAGGCTTGGGTTAAAGATCTCTCAATGCTTCGATGAGGGAGTCGACCTGGTATAGGCAAGTATGGCAAGAAACTGCCTAGTTGCCGCCCAGTTTTGGACACGTTCTCGGGGGTGCGAAGCTTGTGGAATCAAATGGTGCTACATCGAAGCATGTGGAATCAACTGGTGCTAGGTCAACACACTGTCAACACTAGCTCCACACGACCTGCGCCCAAGATGGATACAGTTCGGCATTAGGATCCTCAGACGGCAACTTCCTACGAGTGCGCAGTGCATCTTTCTACATACTGCTTCATACTATGAACCCTAAACCCTGAACCCATAAACTCTATACACCCTAAATAAACTCGCTTGCCCAGCTGTGTCCGCGGCGAGCAGAAAACGTGGCTGCCACCCTCGTGACAGGCTCACACCTCATGTCTTGGACATCTGACAACCCTAAACCCTACACCCTAGACCCTCAACCCTAAACCCTAAATGGAGGGTCTGGGTTTGGGAGCACGGCATGGGGACTCTCCACAATTGCACGTCGGCAGAAGACTCTCTAGGGTTCTGCACGCTGGTCATCCGGACTTCAAGGTGGCAGCATCCAGTAGACTCTAAACCCCAAACCCCAAAGGGTTTAGGGTTTAGGGTTTAGGGTTTACGGTTTAGGGTTTAGGGTTCAACCCCAAACCCTAAACAGCTGCTTCGTCCCGAACCAGATGAAAGACAGCCAGAAAAAAAAAAGAAACGCGCTGTCCCCCTCTCCCATCCTCAGGGATTTAGGGTTTGTGGGGTGTAGGGTTAAACTTTAGGACTCCCTCAACAAAAAAAAGTCCTTGAGCCTGCGAAAAAAACAAGAAGCCGACAAGCCTTCCTTTTGGCAAGAGGCCGGTGAGCCATCAATCTTTGGGGACCAAACGAACCCTGAAAGGGCATAGGGTTCATATACCTTAATAGGAGTTCTAGTAGTCTAGGGTATATGGCCCCAATTTTAGGGTACCTATACCTTAGTCGGAATTCTCGTAGTGTAGGGTATATGGCCCCAATTTTGTTTCATTTGGTCCCCAACCCTAAACCCCAAAACCCTAAACCCTAAACACTAAATAACAAAGGTCCTGGAGTGCCTCCCCAAGGTCCACTGACCTCCAGTGACGCCCCACCCTAAACCCTAAACCCTAAACCCTAAACCCTAAACCCTAAACCCTAAACCCTAAACTGCCAGGGGCTCCCGGCAGCCACTCTCCTCCAGGCCTCAGAGCAGCCCGAGGTCCTAAATGCCCGAAACCCCTAAACCCTAAACCCTAAACCCTAAACCCTAAACCCTAAACCCTAAACCCTAAACCCTGGAGGGGGGGGGAGGGAGGTTGTTCTTGCACTTGCCTGCGGCAGGGCCGTGCTCATTCTGGGGGGAGGCCTCCATAAACCCTACACCCTAAGCCCTTTTGCAGCCTTTAGGGTTTAGGGATTTTTGCTTCCGGTTTAGGGTTAGGAATTAGGGTTTTGGGCATTCCTATACTGATCTTGGAAGCCAAAATCCTAATTTAAGCTGTTTCTTACGAATTATCGTGCCCAAAAAATGGAAAATCATTCCCCCAAAACCGCGAAGTATTCTGGGGGGAGGTCTCCCGAACCCCTAAACTCTAAGCCCTTTTGCGAGATTTAGGGTCAGGGTTTAGGGTTTCGACGCTAGGGTTCTCTGCTTAGGGCTTAGGGTTTAGGGGATTTTTTTTGCCCGCCTAGCTGACTCAGAGAGAGGCACTGCAGGGAACAACACACGTTACTGCGTTGCAAAACTTGGTTTAGGGTTTAGGGTTTGGGGTCTTGACGGCAACCGCTTCTTGCAGCCCAGCTGCCCGAAAGAAACTGATGCTCCAGGAAGGGCGAGTCATCCGGAGACAGCAGCTCCTTGGCGTGAGGGTTTAGGGTTCCTAAACCCTAAACCCTAAACCCTAAACATCCCTAAACCCTAAACCCTAACCCTAAACCCTAAACCAAAACCCTAAACCAGGGTTTCGAGTTGCAAGGCCCGAGCCCTGAGTAGCTCACAACTATTCAGACTATTCAACTACTTGGTGGTGTTCATCGCTGCCAAGTTGTAGCCGAGGCTGGGAGATAAGGAAATGCAGCTACAAGGCAGCAAGCCTCAACACCCTAAACCCTAAACTCTGAACCCTAAACCCTAAACCCTAAACCCCATACCTAAACCCTAAACCCTAAACCCTAAACCCTAAACCCTAAACCCTAAACCCCTGGACATCCCTGAGCCCATGAGCCAGACGAAGTCATTTTCCCGGCTCCAGCCCGACAGCCTTGGCCTGACTTCAGCCACGCGCCGCTGCAGAAGGCACGTGAAAGCTGAAGGGGCTGTGCACAATACTCTAATAATACAACGGTCAAAAAAACATATACATACATATATATATATATGTATGTATGTAGGTGTATATGTATATATATATACACTCTAATGATACAGTACTGGAAATAATACAATGACACAAGAGCATAATCACATCACAACATGATGACATGCTGGTGTCCTCAATGTTCGGTGCGGCCAATGCAAGGCAAGCAAGCGTGTTCCACACTTGCGAGGCTGCGAGGGCAGAAGGCCCAAAGATGCTTGGTCGGCTGATGCTATACACTGTACAGGGTTTAGGGTTTAGGGTTAGGGTTTAGGGTTTCGGGTTTGACCGAACAGGTCAGTTTAGCCGATGTACTTCTCAGATCCTGCTGCGTGGACGACCCTGACTTTCGAGCGGCATCGCCAATCGAAACCGGTAGCCTTCTCGGACATCACCTTACAGCTCAGGCACCGAATCCCCAACAAGAACCTGCTGGTACCATCTAAGGCTTAGGCCGATCGGCCGATTGGGTCAGAGCATGTTGCAAACAAACACGTCTGCAACACCAGCTGGCAACCCGGATGCATGACCTTACGTGCAGCATCATATGTCGCAGCTCAGGCAGGCAAGGCTCGTAGACATCGCCATGGTGAACCTTGCAACTCTCTCTGCGCATTAGGGTTTAGGGTTTAGGGTTTCGGAGCCCGGGCTTCGACTATCTACTCGCGCAACGCGACCCGGAGAGCTCATACACAACCGCCACACAGTTGATAACACCGTGGCCGACACATGCGTGGGCATCGTAGCAGCCAGTGGCGGAATGAGAGAAGCTCAATCTGGCCCAAGGTGAAACTGAAGGCGCGCAGTGCAAACTCAATGAATGTAGCAATGTAGCATGCACATGCAACATCTGTTCTAGAACAGAATGACGAGAACCGGGCGAGGGCGCACAAACAAGGGCAAAGCTGTGAGTGTGTGCCTCTCCTGCCCTGCAATGGGCTGTTTCACATTCACATTCATGGAACCCTGCATCGACCAAGGGAGATGCGTTCTCCAACTGCCGTCCCGCACGTGCACGACATGCTGAGCGCGTGCTGGCGCCAGCGTTGCAGGCGGAGCTCATGCCGATCGCGGCGGGTTTGGCGTGCCAGCACCATTGTCGACTGGGGTGCTGCGTGCGGAGATCCGGCTCTTAACGAGCTGTACAGGTGAGGAATGGTGAGAAAGCTGCCTTCGTGGTAGGATGAATGTGCTTGATCTTATGGCCTCACGTCAGCCAACGTGCAGTTAACCCTCGACCCTGAACTTTAGGCCCTGCAAACCACTACTGTGGCCAGGTCTTCTGGTCTATTCTGGCATGCTGAGCAATTGCGGCCAGTGGTCCTCGATATCGACTTGTCCCACATTCTCGGAGGAACTGGGCATCCTCCAGCAGTACCGCAGTGTGGAGCTTGCGCCAAGGCTCCTGAGGTTCATGGGTAGTTACTACTAGGGTTAGACGCATGGTAAGCATGCTTCTAACCCCAGTGAGGGTACTTGTACCCTTGTTATCACTACCCATGAAACTTGTACCCTTGTTATCACTACCCATGAACCCGCAAGTAAGGTTTCGATGTGCACGCTGGGACGATCTGGCATCATGGCAAGCTCAGGTGAAGCCCTGTCGAGGCGCTTCATTCAATGCATTCGAAACAACAAACAAAGTTTAGCTGAAGCGGCCGAACCCGGAGTATCGAACAATCACCGCACCAGCCAACCGCATGTTCTGTCCACACAGTACGCAACCGGTTGATAAGCCCACTTCCGCGCACGTGAATGCCGAATTCAGTCAGCTCTATGTACAAATATTCCAATTCACATTCTCAAGTGGTCCGTGTGGCTTCGGCCTACAAAATCTTTTGAAGGGGGGCTTCTGGAGACTTACTGTGCGCCATCTGCAATGGCTCCACGACCCGAGCCAGTCTGCTTGTTCAGCCGAGCATCAAGCAAACGACGATCCTTGGCCCATGCGAGTAGCACTGAGAGCCATGTCACCCCCTCCCCGCCGCACCCCTTAAAACCCTATGAATCCCGTAAACCTCTAAATCTTGAGCTGAGGCACTTCCGCTCACTGTCGCCATGAAAGCCAATTCCCGAGGTCTTCTCGAAATCTCGGGAGGCGCCAGGATGAAGGTTTAGGGTTTAGGGGATAAGGCGTGCAGAGGGCCGTAGGGCTCACAAGCGAGATGTGAGCACACTGCAAGCGTTCGGTCAACGGCCTACCTTAAGAACCTAAAGGCCACGTGCTTGGAGGTTACCCAGGAATCCTATACGGGGTTGTGTAGTAAGAACCTACAGAAAAGTAGGTTTTCGGTTCCATGAAAGAATTCGGACGATAGGTCGGGGCGGGCCTTCACGTATTAAAGATCGAACCCCGAACTCATGAATGAAGGGCATAGAGAAGCCTATAGACCTCAGATTCTTCTGGGTTGATCTTGGGAAGCGCACACAGAAGAAGCAGATGTTCTGCTACCCAGCCCGGCAACATAGCCCTTTAGGCAGTCGTATAAGTCTTCATGTCTTGTGCTGAAATCGCTCACCAGCAGCCTCCAAAGCCTCTATGGACACCCCCTGGAATCTTCCCCCATGTCCTGACAGTCCTGAACAGGGATTATAGTACCCCCAATTACAATCCCTATTAAGGACTGTTAGTATAATGGAACATCCCCCGCCTCCCCGATCAACAAGCATCCAAGGGACAGTGGTTGCCTTCTGCAAACAGACCGCGCGCCTTCTCGCCCAACCTGACCGAAAAAGCAATCTAGGAACTTTTGCTAAACCCTTTTGAGCAACGGACAGAGCCCCCAACCCTAAACCCTAAACCCTAAATCCTAAACCCTAGCAGATGTAGTCCCAGGGAAGGAGGCGGCTCCCGGTGAGCTTGTAAAAGCTTTGGGGTTTCGGGCTTAGGGATCATCGGGCTTGGTCGTTTAGGGTTTAGGGTTTAGGGTTAGGGGTTTAAGGCTTCGGAATGTGAGGGCACCTCAATCGTTCTCTATCGAATTTCCCAGGCCTTGCAGGCAAAGCTGCACGGAAATCTGCCAAGTGGGGGAGGTCTCGAAAAGCGCGTACCTGAGATTGAGGCTGCAAGAACTAGAGGGTTCTTAAGCGAGGGGGGTTCCAGGGAGGTATATGACCCAAGGTATGAACTCCCCCACCCCCCCCCCCCTCTTAAGCACCCTATCAAGACAGCAAGCAGTTGCTCAGAGAGCCCATTCAGGAACATACCTTAAATTATACTAAGGATCCCTGTATAATTTAAGGTAAGGTATATTCCTTATTTAAGGGGTATAGGGCTCTTTGGGTGCAAGATCTCTCGAGCCCAAGCCGCATTTGCGCATCCCAGAGCCCCCGGAAATCAGGATCAGGCTTCCCTGCAGGTGCCCCTCAAGCCCTCTGGGCACGTTGGTTGCCTAAACCCTAAACCCTAAACCCTAACCCCTAAACCCTAAACCCTAAACCCTGCACCCTAAACCCTAAACCCTAAACCATAAACGGTGATGCTGTGATCGCTGCCATCCAAGCTGCTGTGTACCTTGGACAGGCAAAGGGAGATTGGGATGGACAGGGTTTAGGGTTTAGGGTTTAGGGTTTAGGGCTTAGGGTTTAGGCTTTAGGGTTGAACCCTAGGGTTTAGGGCTTAGGGGAAAAAACACTCAGGAAAAGGCTCCATAGAATCAGGCAGGCGGCTGCTTGAAATCCTCAGTGCTGGCAAGGTGGCAAACCATCATCCCAAATCCTAAACCTTTGACTCAAACCTATCCAGCGGGTAGCAAAACCTAACCCCGGCGACAAAGGCAGCCAGTTCGGCGATTAGGGGCTTGTCGGGTGTCCTGTTTTGTTTTTCCTTTATCATTTTTGTTTTTCTTGGGGGGTGGGACCCTTTTAAAATTCATTGTCTGGTATCTTACAGATAGATCCTGCAAGAAAAAACGCTTCAGTGCCAGATGCTTGGTGGCATCTTCTGTGCTCTAGACTCTAGGCACTAGACAAGTTGACGCGCATGGCTTGGGTTTGTAGGAAGCCACCTTCAAGCAAGCTTCGCAGACCTATCGCGCGACCAAAAGTAGGGTTCCTCTGTACTGTACATACCTCAAGGCCTAGGGGGGTGCTTAACATAGTGCTTCAGGTCTCCTGAGAATAGTTTGTCTGCGACTGAGGTTGTGCTAAGCCCTAAAACGAAAAAAAAAAACCTTACAACTCCTGAAACCCCCAACCCTCAACCCCTAAAACCCTAAACCCCATAAAGATCAACACCGAAAATATGGGCGAACATCACGAGACTTGGCCCGCGCTGCTCCTCACGACCTCAAAAGTGCCGACGCTCTTTTGGGCCATCAAGCCTATAGAAGTCCCTAAACGGTTTAGGGTTTAGGGCTTGGGTTTAGGGTTTAGGGTTTAGGGTTTAGGGTTTAGGGTTTAGGGTTTAGGGTTTAGGGTTTAGGGTTTAGGGTTTAGGGTTTAGGGTTTAGGGTTTAGGGTTTAGGGTTTCGGGTTTCGGGTTTAGGGTTTAGGGTCCAGGGTTCAGGGCTTAGGATCACATCCAGGCGGCCTCGGTTGGCGTCGCGGCCTCCTCGCCGAAAACGAGGTTGTGCCGGGCCCCTCGAGGCAGTGTCACTGGGCAAGTACTTTGCCAAAGGAAGTGGGGCTATTAGGCTATTATGCCATATAAACCCCATAATCAACCTATGTGTGCCCGCGTTCCGCGTAGTCGAACCCGCTCCCCCAAATTAAATGGTATCCCCCTTCCAAACACAGACCCTAAACCCCCTAAACCCTAAAACTCTAAACCCTAAAACCCCTAAACCATAAACCCTAAACCCGAAAACCTGAAACCCTGAAACCCTAAACCCTACACCTTAAACCCTACACAGGGGGAGGGTACCACCGTGGGGGGGATCACAGGGGAGTGGGGATAGCATGGGTGGGGTGTGGGGGGGGGGCCTTTCTGTCCGGCGTATGCGTTTTTCTGTCTGGGCCCTGCAATATGCGCGCTTGGAGAACTGATGCGAATTGGATGCTCATCAATCACGCCTTGCAGGCCTTTCACCTCCCTCGCCGAACCATGCTCCAAAATGTCGTTGTGCAAGCATCCCCGGGCTATAGCCATGCGTAACCCGAGAAGAACCACAACGCAAGCCGTAGAAACCTGAATCCTGCAATTTACCCTGAACCGCAGACTCAAATGCTCTGCACGTCAGCTGGCACGATGACACTTGCATCGACTTACATCCAAAAAAACCACGCTGAGCCCGAAACCCTGAACCCTAAACCCTAAACCCTAAAACCCTAAACCCTAAACCCTAAACCCTAAACTCTACACCCTAAACCCTAACCCCTACACCCCAACCCCAAACTTTTAGAGTGTATAAGTATAATAGCCCTCTAAGCCGACAATGCGCTTCCAAGGCTCGCTTCGTCAGCGTCTTCCCACGGCGCCCGTCCCAGTACTTGGAGTCGTATCGCAACCCCTGGAGTCCGCGCTGGGACATGTTAGGGTTTAGGGTTTAGGGTTTAGGGTTTAGGGATTGGAGCCCGTTGCTGCTGGGGCTTGTTAGGGTTGAGGCAGTTGCAACAGGTTGTCACGGGACATGCCGTCGGTGCCACTATAGGCCGGTTTACTCAGAAGTACACCCCGCAGCACTCGCCTCAAGGCAACCAGAAGGGGCCTCAAGCTAGACCCCCACAAGGTCCCCTTTGCAGGAAACCTTTTGGAACGAGACTCCTTCTACAAGGGCCCCCCCCCGCCCCCCCAAAAAAAAAAAAAACCTAACCCCTAAACCCCTAAACCCCAAACCTTCACCCTAAAGCAACTGCCCGTGGCTTGTGGCCTGCTGTTCGCGAAGCAGGTGTGCAGCTGCCTCCTCTTGTTGGAGGAGCACCTCTCAGCTTCGCAGCTTGGAGTTCTGGGGTTGAGGTGCGAGGGTTTAGGGTTTAGGGTTTAGGGTTTGGGGTTTAGGGACGACTTATCTAACGCAGCCGTGAACTGGCAGTAGCAACACACCATGAAGGTTACCCCATATAAGACCACACCTAGCTGCAATTATAGTGCCCCTACTTACAACTTGGGTTGGCCTTGAAAAACCTTTGTATGTCGGGACCCTTATAAACCTAAATAACCCTAAACCCTAAACCCTAAACCCCAAACCAAGGAGAAAAAAACACGCCAAAGGCCAACCTAGACTTCTACCGGCCCGTGAACCTCCGAGAACACAACTTAGTTGTCCAGTAACCTAGGGAACTTAAGGTTAACCTTTGGGAATTTATAGGGATTATACTACCCCAAAAAGTTTTAAGGTTTATCTACTCTACTACTAAGAAACCCTAAACCCTAAACCCTAAACCCTAAACCAAAAAGGTTAAAGGTTATCTACTCTACTACTAAGACAACCCTGACCCGAATGCCGTCCGAAGGCCGCCGCGCCGTTGCGGATGACCAGTGTGGCGGCCTCGTTCCCCTGGAACACACGGTTTAGGGTTTAGTTTAGGGTTTAGGGTTTAGGGTTTAGGGTTTAGGGTTTAGGGTTTTGGGTTTCGGGTTTAGGGCTTAGCTTTCTTGCATCTGGACTGCTGGGAGGGATCAGCCAGATAGCGCTGCGGCACTGAAGGGTGCACCCTAAACCCTCCTTGTTTTGCATCCGGACTCCTTTGCATGCTCCTAGACCTTAAACCCTAAACCAGCAAACCCTTACTCGGGGTTGACGGTTTAGGCTTCTGAGGGTTCTTTCTCTTCCAAGGGTCGTTGGGTTGCAGGTTTCAGGTTACAAGTTTAGGGCTTAAGGGTACAAGTTTAGGGCTTAGGTTTCAAGTTTAGGGTTTGGGGTTTCGGGCGCACAACTTGGGCTCTGAGTCTCGCTCAAGGGTTGAAGGGTCGGGGGGACCAGCGTGGTTCAGAACTTAGTAGCCCAGTAACCATCTTACAATAAGGGCACTTTTTGGGGGATTTAGGGTTTAGGGTTCAGGGTTACTTTACTATAAGGGAACCCAGAACCAAAAAGGGTAAAGGGTACCACTAGGCTACCAAGAGAATGATTCTTGGTCTGAGGGCCCCAACAGCCGAGGAATACAAAGCTGATACTTCATGATTTCACAGTAAGGATTTAGGGTTTACAGGGTTTAGCGATGAGGGTTTAGGGTTTAGGGAAGCCAAAAAGAGCTTAAGCTCGATGATTCTAAGGAAAAGTGCTGAAGCCACAAGATTTGGAATTTGGCATAGGAACACCAGAAAAGGCACCCTGTTTGGAATGGATAAACCCAGATTCAGAGAAGGATCTTGAGGGAAACCACCCTTCTGATGAAGGAACAGCGAATATGACACTCGCATAAGGACGATGACTTAGGGTTTAGGGTTGAGATGCTCCCCCTTATGCTACCAGTCCTTAATCGGGACTACAGTACCCCCTACCATCATCCCTACTAAGGACTGCTTGTATAACTAGGATGGCCCTTAAGCCATTGGAAAAATATTCCTGAATATGATCTTCTTAAACCCAATAAGGGTGAATGTAACATGTCCCGAGGGCCTACCGAGATAAGGGGGAACGTCCCAAAGTTTAGGGTTTGAGTGCCCAGGATTGTGTGGCCTTGCGCATCTTTTTGGGAAGCGCGTCGCTCAGCGAGACCATCTCCTGAGCAAAAGGGTTTGGGCTTTGGGTTTGGGGTTTAGGGTTTAGGGGTTAGGGTTTAGGTAGTCTCAAGCCTACTACGACACAACTGTTTGAAGACGGGCTCCCTCGACAGTTCTCCTCCCTAAACCTAACCCGAAACGTGATCTTTGTACGAAAGCTGGGACAAGTCGAAAAAACCCCGTTTTACTTGCCTCGGAACCACCATAGCATTAGGTCGACACACACAGATATATATATATATATATATATGTATATATATATATATATATATATTTGTTTTGTTTTTTGCATCGGGTTCCGTGAACAAAAACAAAGCCCAAAAAACACTAAATTCAAAAATACAAAAGGAAACTTGGTCCATCCTGTACCCGAGGCTCAGTCACCACACCCTGTGCAGACAGCTGCTCCGCGAGCTCTTGGAGCTCGGCTACAGAGAAGCCCGCGGAGGCCCTGCCGCACTCCAGGGTTTAGGGTTTAGGGTTTAGGGTTTAGGGTTTAGGGTTTAGGGTTTAGGGTTTAGGGTTTAGGGTTTAGGGTTCAGGGGATGTGTATTACTTGGAGGTTCATGGGTAGTTATAGGTACGGTTATCAGTATGGCAACAAACATATAACCCCATTCAGGGTGGTTATAACCATACTTATAATTACCCATGAACCTCCGAGTAGGAGGTTTGGGGTTGAATGCTGCCACGACGGCATCATACATCTTTGTCCGTGATAGAGAAAGCCGGGTGGGTGTGGAGGCATAGTCGCACGAGGCTCACCATGAAAATGGTTGAGCTGGCAAGCATGTTGCTCTTGTCCACAACCCTGCTTTGCCCCTCGTGCGCCGCGCGAGCAATGGTTTTTGTACGTCTATAGGGACGACCACATGACGGCCGCCATTGGCAAAGTCACCCGAAGTGTCTGCCTCTCACGCAGGACCCTATAAACCCTGAACCCGAAACCCTATGAAGTGAGATGCGGCGAGCCCTCCACGGGCGGTTTGCAAGTGTGCTACCCGTGGATGCAGCAGCCCCAAGCCCTCAAAGGGCTTAGGAGTTTTAGGATTCCTAAACCCCGCACCCTAAGTTTAGGGGCCAAAAGGACTTTAGGACACCCCCGACAAGAAAGAAAAACAACAAAAAAAACAACGAAACCTGCCTCGCGCCCACCTCCTCGCCACCTAGCGGGGGAAGATGAGTTTTTGAGGGCCTCTTGGGGGCTTCTGCTGACTGAGCATGGTTCGGGGCCTGGCGCGCCTTCTCCGAGGGATTATAGGGAAACTCTTGGGCTTGAAGGGTGTCATTACACGGGGCTTCTAGAGGGTTTATCAGAAGGAGGGAGGGAGGGAGGGAGGGAGAGATAGATACTGTTTTAAATCTATATGTGTATATATATATGTACAGATAGAAGAAAGAGAGATAGAAGAAAGAGAGACACAGAGAGAGAGAGAGAGAGCCAGAGAGAACGAGAGAGCGATAGAGAGAGAGAGGGAGACAGTGAGAGGGAAAGAGAGCAGACTGAATCAGCTTCGATGGCCTATGTGCAGTACCGCCGCTTCGCCGAAGGTGATGGCATACCGGGTTGCTGCATCCGCCGGGAGATCCGGCGCCGGGCGCTTCGCGCGCATCGCCCTCGCCTGCATCTGCCGTGCCATCCCGAGGGTCCAGCAGACTCGGGCACGCATCAGGGAACTGCTAGTTGGGATGTTCCCCCTTCTACTAAGAGTCCCCACATTATAATCCCTACTAGGGACTGTTAGTACAAGGGGGAGCATCCCAAGCTGCTAGATTCAAAAAGGGGTTCAAGTTGATGGAAGGCTTCGGGAAGTTGAGAAGGTTTAGGTTTGGGTTCTCTTGGCTGACCCTGAACCCTAAACCCTAAACCCTAAACCCTAAACCCTAAACCCTAAACCCTAAACCCTAACCCTGACGGGATTCGGGAACTCGACAGTAACCTTCGGCATGCCTCCTCGCCCATGACTCAAGATCTCGGCAGGGAGCTGACAGCGGCTGCGCTGCAAACGGCTCTGCCAAGGAATGGGTTTAGGGTTTAGGGTTTAGGGTTTAGGGTTTAGGGTTTAGAGTTTAGGGTTTAGGGTTTAGGGTTTAGGGTTTAGGGTTTAGGGTTTAGGGTTCTTGCGCCGCGTAGTGGAGGCCCGCCACTCAAGTTGAACCCGAATACAAGCCAGGTTTGGCTGCCCTTTGCTTAAGAACCCGCCCCCCCCTCCCCCCAAAAAAAAAAAAAAAACCAGAACAAAATCCCTTTCTTGCTCTGATAAGGAAGAATATCGTTTTTTTTTTTTTTTTGGGGGGGGGGGGGGGCAAAGAGTAGTTGGGGTTTAGGGTCCAAGCCCCAACACGTAATCACCTAATCAAACCCCGAGCTGGGGCGCCGCGCGTTCCACATGGCCGGCGGCAGGCACGCTCCGCGCCCTGACCCGCTTGAATTTCGAGGATGCCAGCTGGTTGGGGGGCCAGAAATGGTTTCAACAATCATGGGAGTTTAGGGCTTAGGCTCCAGGATTTAGGGAAGTTTAGGGTCGTGGTTGAGAATTCTTTTCCGTCTCCTACAAATGGCACAACAAGTTCCGCTCACGCACCCGCAAGCTTCCACGTTTCAAGTGCCGCCGGGCGGAGCCGCCCTGCTACCCAGACACCTTTCAGCACTGTGCTACTATTTGCTTATTAAGATGCCTCCCCACCCCTTCCCCCCCCCCCACCCCCTCCCCCCCAAAAAAAGAAATAAAAGAAGAATCCCTGCATTCTCCTCGCAAGGAAACAAAGTTTTTTTGCTTACTGGGTGGTTCTGAAGCAAATATAAGCAAATGGCAGTGCAAAGTTCCTGGTTGTGCAGTCATGCTTGATTTTTAAAGCCCTTTCTGCAACAGGCTTGCCACTTCGCTTCGCCATTGGTGCCAGCTGCATGCGCCCATTCTACAGCATCCGAAAAGACGTTCTGCAAGACAACCTTAAACCCTCAACCCAGGGCCACTCTAGTGCTTAGTATTAGCTATACCCATATGAACCCCTGGAAGGTAACCTCATGGTATTTAGTGGTTGGGAATCCGTTACAATGAAAATTAGGCACCCAATCTCAGATTACGAAACACGTTCACCAACTCGCAACAAGGGCACTTTACAACTGGGGGGTTTAGGGTTTAGGGTTTAAGGTTTAGGGTTTAGGGTCAAACTCAAACCTTGGCTTTTTATTCACGAATAATCATCATCCTCTGACACCCAACAAGGGAAAACGGTTTATCGTTTAGGCTTGGGCTTAGCAAAGAGTTACATGTCCCAAGGTCCCTCCTGCTAAGCCTGAATCCTCAACCCTGAACCTGAACGCTGAACCGTAAACCCTTAACCCTAAACCCTAAATCCTAAACCCTTAACCCTTAACCCTAAACCCTAAACCCTAAACCCTTAACCCTAAACCCTAAACCCTAAACCCTAAACCCTTAACCCTAACCCTAAATCCTAGCGAACAAAAACCTGGAAGACTGCCCCGTACAAGCCTTGCAAGAGCTGGATGGAGACGGGACCCTCAGGATCCTCTGCGTCCTGGCAATGCAGTTTCGGGTTTAGGGTTTAGGGTTTAGGGCTTAGGGCTTAGGGCTTAGGGTTTAGGGTTTAGGGTTTAGGGTTTAGGGTTTAGGGGGGGCCATAAACCATTCGAAAAACGCAAGGGTCGGAGGAAACCGTAGCTGTAGAGGCTTCTGCGGGTATTTCTTCCCACTCGAAGAGACCCTCTTGCCGCGGAACCCCTAAACCCTAAACCCTAAACCCTAAACCCCGAACCCAGAAAAGATCCAAAAAGGGTGCCCCTATTGAGGGAACACCCCCGCCCTCCGGTACGAGTCCAGCAGTTTACTTGTCTCGTGCTGCAGCAGGCGATGGATCAATCACCTCAGGGTCTGATTCCCTCAGCCTAACAAAAAGGAACTAACCCTAAACCCTAAACCCTAAACCCTAACAATAATAGGGCGGGTTGGGTGTGTCTTGCAGGAACCAGAAGGGCGCCTTTTTGTTCTGCGAATGTGGCGCTTTCATCTCTGGCAGCTCGAACTACTTGGAGGTTCATGGGAAGTTATAAGTGGGGTTTTATGTTTGGTAGCTATACTTCTAGCCTTTTACTTGTGGTACATATAACCCTACTTAGAACTACCCATGAACGTCCAAGTAACATCCCTCCACTTTGTAGTCGTACCTTGTTTAAGATCGACAGCATTCTCTGTTCTGTCTGTTCTGTGCTGAGGTGCGCGAATGACGCTGCGAATGATCCTCTTGCCAGCTGGTGTGCCAGAAACGGAAGAGAGAAATCTTCACCTAATCGAATTGGGGGTTTACGAAAGTAGGAGACCCCTAAAATAGAGCCCCAAATAGTAGGATTCCCTTAAATAAAGGACCCCAACAAGGTACCCCTAACATCGTAAACCCCCAATTGAGCCCTGAACGCCATCAAGCACCAGGCCAGACCCGTGCTCACTCTTGGATTCCATCAGGATCCATGACCTGCATCCGCTCATTTTGCAGCGCGGCCTGCGGAACTTGCCCCAGGGAGCCGGCCTGGCGCTTTTTTTCAGGGGGTTTACGATACTCCCCGAAATGTTCCCCCTGATACTAACAGTCCTTCATAGGGATTATGATAAAGGGTACGAGAATCCCTATTAGGACTGTTAGAATAAAGGGGGTACATCTTAAGACTACCCTCAGAACCATATCAATTAAAACATAACTGGTCAGATCATTGCTTGGGTTTGTTAACAAAACTGTAAACCCTAAAACGACTAGAGTTTAGGTTTTGGGGGTTGGGCTGATCCCATGCATGGACCGACCGCGATCGAAGGTAGGATCCCACCGAAGTGTATCAAAACACCTGAAACACTACCCAGGCCTCCAATACCCCTCGACTCGTAGCTCCTAGTTTGTTTGCTTAGGGGTTGGGCTACGTGCAGCGACCTGAACCCTCCACCGCTGTTTTGCATCCGGGCTCTACGTGGTATCTGCCGGAGCCAAAGACTCAACCCACTTCGCTCCATCTCATGATATTCACAAGACAGCCCACGCCAATAACATGCAAACCCCTAAACCCCTAAACCCCTAAACTCCTAAGCCCCTAAGCCCCTAAGCCCCTAAACCCTAAGCCCCTAAATCCCTAAACCCCTGAATCCCCAACCCATACACCTGGCCTGGCTTGCTCCCTTGACGAAGGGATATGCAGACTCAGCGCTCCCACGGATGCGAACCGCTTTCGCCCGCACCGTACCGGGCTGCTCTTTGCCGGCCTCCGCCACACCTGAGGGTTTAGGGTTTAGGGTTTAGGGTTGAGGGTTTAGGGTTTAGGGTTTAGGGTTTAGGCAGGGCGTGCGGCCTTGTTGTAGACCTTGGAATCCGATGAGGGGCATGATAGTAGCAGTAAGAACCTACCAAACAGTGTAGCTTTGAGGTTCTTAAGGTAGAGAACTTTTCTTCCATCTGGGCTGGGTGGGGAGCTACTTGCACAACCTGATCAGCTCTACTGGCTGACACGCCATACACACGCTCTCTCCCTAAACCCTGAACCCTAAACCCACAATCCTAGGGTTAAGGGCTCAGGGTTGTGAAAGACTTGCAGTCTGGCTTTTGTGCTGTAGGAAGAACGCATGGCTGCTCTCACACATTGCACGCCAGCGCGAAAGCCATGCCTTCAACCTACGGACACTCTCCCTAACCTTAAACCCTAAACCACCAGGGCCCAACACTCTCCGCTGCCCTCCACCACGGAATTTGCGGGCGCTTGGTACTCCACGTACTAAGCTGAGCAAAGAGAGGTAGAATTCAAAACCCTAAACCTTGCCTGAACTGCAAACCCTCGACCTAAATGTCATTGCAAAGGCGGCCAGGCAAAAAATGTCTAATAGGGTTTAGGGTGAACTACAGTAATATGATCCTCGGAAGCCCCGGTCAAAGAGCATACTTAACTAGAATTCAGGGCCTACCTATAGGGTACCAACCATGGAACCCGAAAACCCTAAACGCTGCAAGTGAAAGGGCGAAGTCTGAAAGATGCCCAGGGCACGGTCTGCCGGGATGCTTCCGCTTGGGAACTCCTCGCGCGCCACCCCGAAGCCCTTCTTTTTTGCACCACCCCCCCCCCCCCCCCCTAGAGGCCCTGAAGCCGTTTAGGCCTTGTGAACCAGAAGCTGGTACTCATGCCTGGAAGCAACTCACGAGCAGAGGCACGTTTAGCCCCCTATAAACCCTAAACCCTAAACCCTTTTAAGACTGGAACTGAGGCCAGGGCAGAAACCCTAAACTCTAAGGTTTATAAAGTTTAGGGCCCCAAGCTCTAGGAGGTTTACGGCCTGGCGCTGGGGGTTCTAGGAAACCTCGGGGGCTCCCTTCAGGAGCCTCGGGGCTGGTGGCCCGCCCCCACTTTTTTGGAATGAGCACGGTTGGTACATATATTGTTTATACATATATACATATATACATATATGCATATATACATATATACATATATACATATACACATATATACATATATACATATATATATATATATATATTATATTGTATGTTATGTATTGTATACAATAAATTATATATTGTAGATAAAAATAGCCAGGTTTTGGCACTAGTGCGGTTTAAAGAAGAGGCGCACCACTTGTCGGTTTTAGGGTTCATGGCTTAGGGTTTTCCTGGACAGAATGCTCTTCAACACAATGCTCCTGGATCACTGAGGCGCAGCTGGCCACCAGCTCCTGCAAGGGCTTGCTGAGGCTTCACAGGGATGTGCGGGTTAGGGTTTAGGGTTTAGGGTTTAGGGTTTAGGGTTTAGGGTTTAGGGTTTAGGGTTTAGGGTTTAGGGTTTAGGGTTTAGGGTTTAGGGTTTAGGGTTTAGGGTTTAGGGGGCTCCCAGAAAAATTGAGGCTCCGTCTTTTTGCCGCGGTCTCATCGGTCTCTGCAATAGGGATGCTACTACATTCAGTGGGATGCTAACTTTGACCCTTTCTTTTTTGGAAACTCGCACATGGCCTCGGCGTTTGGTGTGCGTAGGGTTGAGAAGGATCAAAAACAAAACAACACCCTGTTTTTGGAAGCCGGAAACCAAGGCCTGAGCCCCTAACCCTCAACCGCATCGGGTTAAGCTGGTAGCAAACCCTAAACCCTAAACCCTAAACCCTAAACCCTAAACCCTAAACCCTGTAGCAGTCCTCATGCACCAGGGACAGCTCGGGGGCCTGCTCCTGCTGCTCAGGGTGCAGAGCTTAGGAGGTTTTTACCATCCGCCTAGGTGACTGTCAGTCGCACTGCAGGGACTACCACAAGTGCACAATAGTTACTCATACTGACTCATACACTTACAGGGTTTACACGCCGCTGTCTCACAGGGTTTAGGGTTTAGGGTTTAGGGTTTAGGGTTTAGGGTTTAGGGTATGGCATGCGATCACATCGATACGCCCAGCACCTGCTCCTGCATTCAGCATTCAAGACAGCTGCGGCAGCAACCATCGGAACCATCCGTTTCGCAAACGCCAAATCCGCTACCTCCAATCACCAAGGTCCTGGTTCAGGACGTGCTCAAACTCTGCACCCAGCTGGGCAATCTGAGGGGAAACAACATGTGACGATATGGGCCTTGATCGACATGCTGTGCACTTACTGCGGTATTCCTTACATTATTAAAATCCATAACTACAAGGAATATATCATATATTAAGCTAGAGGCCACAAGAAGGGCCCATAGCTCATAAGTATTCTAAAGCTTACCGGAGGAGAAAGAAAGAAAGAAATAAAGAAAGAAAGAAGAAAAAACAAAAAACGAACCACCAGCCGACTGGAGCTCTCATCAACCGCTTAATCACTCGGGCGCCATAGGCCCCAAACCCGCGTAGAACCACGCAACTCCGAACAGGGTTTCGGGGCTATAAGGGCTAGGCTGGAGCCGAAAGGCATTCGGTCTGGGTTTGAGTTGATATTGAAGACCTTCCTGCACATGTCTCATTCTACCTCTTGGAGGTTCTGAGTTATTCTTCTCACGCATAGATTTCATGCATCTTGCCCTTCATCATTATAGTAGTATTATTGGTATGCTGCTGAGGGGTTGGCACACCCCTCGCGGCGGCCTCCTGCAGCGACGATCGGAACGGAGCACGCCCCCAGTCGCTGCCGAGGAAGTGCAGGTCATCCACCTCACAGCTTGACAGCGCCAAGGCCCTAAACCCTAAAACCCAAGACCTTACACTCAAAAACCTGAAACCTTACACCCAAAAGCGCCCCAACTCAAACCTGAAAACCCTCTCTCTCTCTCACGTACTCAGGAAACCAGTCAGACGTGGTCCCGGAAAGTGGGCGAAACCTGAAACATCTGAAACGCTAAACCCAAAACCCTCCAGGCGCTCAGAAACCCCAAAACCCTAGAGCCTGAACCCTAAACCCTAAACCCTAAACACTAAACCCTAAAACCCTAAACCCTAAACCGTAAACCGTAAACCGTAAACCGTAAACCGTAAACCGTAACCTAGAGCCTAAAACCTAAACACTAATTGAACGCATTGCCCATGAGGACCCCGCCAGACCCAGGGCCGACTCCGCAACGATGAAGTCGATCTGCCGCAGAAGTTCATCTTTTGCCTTGGTTTAGGGTTTAGGGTTTAGGGCTTAGGGCTTAGGGTTTGATCTCCACGCGTTTCTGTGGGCGTGTGAGGCGCCCCAGCAAAAGAATGCGAAAGACACGGGCCACCTAGGCATTAGCTCCTTCCAACTTTGCCGTAAGGGATCAGAGTCTATAACCTCAAACACCACAAGCGCCCTAAACCAATGAAGTGGAACTTGTAGAGCTCCTTTTTTCCCCTAAGCCTACGCCCTACAGGGTGGGGCCCCCTAGTTATAAGTAGAGTTATAAGGGCCCTAAATTGGGTTATAAGGACCCTAAGTTAGGTTATAAGTCCCTTAACTACAGTTAGTATAGTAAGGGGGCCCCACCCTGTACACGCACAGGGAGGCCGGGAGGCCCGGAAGATCCCCCAATGGCCTTGTCCGTCTTGGACTGGAGCGCAGCTTCGTCGTCCACGAGGGCCGGCGCAGCTTTCCTAGGCTCCTGGATCACTAAGCAAAACGACATGATAAGCTTTATGGGTTTAGGGTTTAGGGTTTAGGGTTTAGGGTTTAGGGACTGGGTCCTGATAAGCACACCATGGTCTAGAAGGGACCCCCAAAAAGGCACCCTGCTTTTGAGATCCCAAGTCTGAAGGCTGCCTAGGGTGGTTCTGATAGTGACAGGTTGGGATGTTCCCCCTAAACCCTAAACCCTAAACCCTAAACCCTAAACCCTTAACACAGTCCTCAATACGGATTCATTATAACGCGGTGCACAAAAATCCCTATTTTAGGACTGTTAGTGACACAACCCGGTCCAGGAGTGAGCCACAGAACTCTTTGGGTTTAGGGTTTAGGGTTTAGGGTTTAGGGTTTAGGGTTTAGGGTTTAGGGTTTAGGGTTGCATGCCCCATAGACTGAAGCCATTTCAAGCCTTTAAGTAAACACTCTAGACCCTAAACCCTAAACCCTGCGGGCCAAAAGCTGAACCCCAAAACATCGGACAAAATGATGCTTCACGGCTTCAAAGCCCGCAGACTCTCTACAGGACGTGTCCCTAAGCGCCCACACCTCAAATCCTAAACCCTAGGCCCTTTCTGAAAACCCTTGTGCAACTGTACGGTTTTAAAACCTTAAACCCTAAACCATGAACCTTCTTTTGCAGATCAGGACTGCTTGGCAGAAACCCCTAAACCTAGACCGTGAATCGAGGTTTGGAGGTTTGGGGGAGGCTCCATGGGCCTGAATTTGCAGCTTGAGGTCTTTATACTTACTGATTGTGGGCTCTTAGTAGGGAATGACAGGATTCGGTACTCTGCGTAGCTATTCATTAAGGGGAAATATAGGAACCCTAGGCTGCAAAAACTAACCCCTAAACCCAAAAATTTGCCCCAAACCCCAAACCCTAAACCCTAAACCCCAAAACCCCTATGGGTTTAGGGTTTAGGGTTTAGGGGCCCTGTGCTCCTCCTCGGTCAGGCCCATCGCTGCAGCCACTGCACTGCGCCTCGATGCACCGAGCCGTCTTGCGCACCCTCAACCTCTGACTGTTCACCCTGAAGCTCTCTTCCGCCATAGAGCTACAACCATATACATATGGATAGATAGATACATAGATAGATAGGTAGATAGATAAAGCAGAAGGAGGATAGATAGGTGGATAGACATATATATATATATATATGGCTGTATATGTACTTGGGGTTTACACACGCAGAGGTAAACCAACTTCCTAAGGGGCTAGAGAAAGCTTTATTAAACCCGCGTTTTTGGCAGGCCACCCAAGAATCCTACGAGGGGGTTTTACAACCAGAACCTACAGAAGGGGTCGGTTTTTTGGGGGTTCTACTTCTCTTCACCCTAAACCCTAAACCCTAAACCCCAAACCCCAAACCCCAAACCCTAGCATGACTGATGAGGTCCAATACTCAACCCGACGACTCGGCCTTCGTGTGGCAACTGTATGGGACCTGGGAGGCCTCCAGCCCGAGAGAAAAGGGGGGGGGGGGGGGGGGGGGGGGGCGGGGGAGTTAGGGTTTAGGGTTTACTAGAGTTTACTGGGGTTTAGGGTTTAGGGCTACTAGGCTCAGGGTTTAAGGGTTTAGGGTTTAGGTAAGGGGGAGTGCCGGCGTTTTGCCACCTTCTTCGGGCCAGATGGCTTGCATTCCCTTGCCCTGTGCACCGATGCACCTCACCACCAAGAAACCCAGTACAACAGCCCCTAAGCTTTGCCTTCTTGTGGTTTAGGCTTCATACCCTTTGATTTGAGCCCAGACAGTGCACTAAACCCATGAACCCTAAACTCTAAACCCTGAAGCCTAAAGACCCTTCCAGGGCAAAAAGGTTTTCCGCATGGAGCCTGGTCGGACCTGGCAAGCTCAGCTTGGCATAGTCCTTTTCGCTGAGCCGCGTCCTCCAAGAACAGCTTGGGTTTTGAGGTGATTCTCCGTGCTTTTATGGGGCCTGGGTCTCAAAAGCAGCTTTCAACAAATGCTTCAAGCAGCGCTGGATCCACGATGAAGCCGGCATTCATTGGCAAAAACCCTAAACCCTAAACCCTAAACCCTAAACCCTAAACCCTAAACCCTAAACCCTAAACCCTAAACCCTAAACCCTAAACCCTAAACCCCAATGTCAGTTCCATGTTCCCCTACACGCCCGGAAGCCGGCGCCAAGATGCGGCCTTGTTCAACAGGCTGCCGGCAATCTGCCTGGACAACCTAAGCCGTAAACTCAAACACGAAGCCCATGTCAAAATGCCCTAAATAACCCTAAACCCTCAACCCGAAACCCTGAAACCAAATTCTGACGGACTCGCCGAGCGGGGTCCTTGGCCTCAGGTAGGGCACCTTCTTCCCGTGGTCCTCGGCAACTTGTCTCTTTTGGGTTTATAGGGGTTAGGGCAAAAGTTGACCCGACTCCCCCGAGCATGGATGGAATCCTGCACATCGAGCCAAGCAGCTATCACCGTCATCATCTGCGGCAAGATGTAGCCATCTTTGCCATCATCCGAGCATGGATCAAACAGCTTCGTGCCAGCGTCGCTCTGCTTAAGCGCCGGCCTGTGCGCAGAGCGAAGAAAGGAGAAGACAGGTGCAAAAAATCGAAGGCCTGGGGGAACAACAGGAAAGATGACAAGGAGGGCACTAACCCCTTTTAAGCAGGTCTCCGCCACTTAAAAAAGAAGGAACCCTAAACCCTAAACCCCAAACCCTAAACCCTAAACCCCAAACCCCAAACCCTAACCCGCCCCAGAAGCCCGAAGCCTTCCATGTGAAACCAAGTGGCTGCAGCCCCAGGTCTTCGCACTGCCTGGCAGCCGACTCGACGTCGTTTCCCGCAAGGCACACCTTCAAAAGCCGCATGGTGTGGGATGTTCCCCCTCATACTAACAGCCCTTAATAGTGGTTTAGGGTTTAGGGTTTAGGGTTTAGGGTTTAGGGTTTATATTCCTTAGTGAGGACTGTTGGTATAAGGGAGAACATCCCGAGGCTTTGGGGTTTGGGGCTGAGGGTCCCTTGAAAAAGCTCTATGTACGGCAGAGGATCGAGGAGCCCAGCTTCTGTGAAGGGCAAGGCAGTGTGCGATGCTATCATCTGTCAGGAATGTCGCGATATCCACGGTGCACATCAGAGGATGATCGGGGTTTAGGGTTTGGGTTTTAGGGTTTAGGTTTTTTTCCCGAGATGAGGCATGTAATCGCCTGAGTTTCGAAGCATCCGAGCATCTAGGCATGCCCTTTGAGGCATCTGACATACATTCCTACATAAGATCCTCTTCAGCCCCGCAAGGGCAGTAAATGAAAAACACCCTAAACCCTAAACCCTAACCCTAAACCCTAAACCCTAAACCCAGATGTCCCCCAGGCCCTACTTCGGCAATTTTCTTCGTTCTTCTGCTGCGGGGGCCAAGGAGCGGGAAGCTTGCCGGAACCGCCGAACTTTTCGATGGAGTTCAGGCCGGAGCCTGCTTTGGAAGTCGCCCTAAACCCTAAACCCTAAACCCTAAACCCTAAACCCTAAACCCTGAACCCTAAACCCTAAACCCAGGCTTGAGGGAGCTTTGTGGGGTTTAGGGTTCTTAGGGGCAGGGTTTATAGGATTCAGGGTTTAGGGTGCTCCCACGGCCCACGACCTACACGGGAACACGCAAGCCACGCGAAGAAAGGCCCGAACTTGCGGCGCAGTGTATACACTTCCATAAATACCCACACCCTTACAAACCCGAAAGCCAACAGCTACAAAGAGCGCTAAACCCTAAACCCTAAACCCTAAACCCTAAACCCTAAACCCTAAACCGTGGCTCTACACCAAAAATGCGACGGAACGCGAGCGTGAGCTTCTTCCCGCGTGCCTGGCAGCTCCGCGACTGCTCCTTCTCTCAACTTTTCTCTGAGGGCGCCTGAATGGGTGGAAATTTAGGGTTTAGGGTTTAGGGTTTAGGGTTTAGGGTTTAGGAACAAACCAGGTTCAGGAACTAGGAGGCTAAAAAACACACATGTACATAAAAAAGGTAGAATGTAGGGGCATTAATAATTAGAACCAGGGTTCTGGGGGGACGTTTTTTGTATACTTACAAGGGGACCAAAAGGGGACATTCTTCGTAAAGATTCCGACCCCTAGAGTATGTGTGCAGCATCAGATTTCTGGGGATGGGGTTGATCCGTGCAGGCGAGGGGGGAGGCCACAAAAGGAGGGTTTAGGGTTTAGGGTTTAGGGTCTAGGGTTTAGGGTTCACCGGAACTTTCGAAACCTGGTCTCAAATCCTGAGCCCTCAAACTACGTACTCAGCCAAGCATCATCCATCGAGCTGGCCCAAGTTGGTTAACCTAGCTGTGGTTGCGGGAGGTGGGTTTAGGATTTAGGGTTTAGGGTTTAGGGTTTAGGGTTTAGGGTTAGGGTTTCGGAGGGCTTTGAGATTGAGACCACGGGGGTAGTCAAGAGACCCTCCCTGGAGCTCTGGGCGCCTAATGTTCGCAACATTTAGGGTTTTGGGGTTTAGGGTTTAGGGTTTAGGGGGACGCTAACCACCATGCTAGGTACGCAATAAGAATCGCCAGAATGAGAAGTCGAGGTGTCTAGGTTTGGACTCTAGGACTGCTGATCTAGAATTCGCGCCTGCTTTCAATCGAAAATGTCGGCTTGGGGGCCCTTGGTACATATATATATATATATATACGTACTTGTACATAACATTATTTAGATACACATGTATTTTAAGCCAGTGCATATGTATGTTGTTAGGCATGCTAAATGTCAGAGTTGGGCGTTGGGTAGGAAACCTCCAAGCCTGAAGACACCATCGAGAGCAACATTTAAAGGGGTCTAAGGAGGGACCCCTTGAAGAGACCGTATACACCTTGTATAGTCCCTATATACCTAAGCAGGCCCTAAATGACCCCTAAGGTCCCTTACAAGGGTCCTTGAACCCTAAACCCTCAACCCTAAGCCCTATAAACCCTAAACGGCCCTAAACCCTAAACCTGAACTCTCCGCCCTTTGAAACATGCTGGCCCCTTGCCAGGTGGCTCCTCGAGGGAGCCCGCTGGCAGCAGGAAGTCGCGCAGTCCACCTTAGTTGCTGAGTTCGGGTTTAGGGTTTAGGGTTTAGGGTTTAGGGTTCAGGGTTTAGGGTTTAAGGCCCCAACAAAGTGCACACTTTGAGTTCTATAGGGGGCTTATAGTATCCCAAAGAGTGTAAAGTGTACTCATTCAGCTGCTAAGCCACCAGTGGAGATGCGCAGCAGCACATCATCTGCACCCTCGGAGGTCAGAAAAAAGCCATGAGTTTAGAACCTATAGGATGGGCGTCCCTGTCTGAGTCCTTTTAACTCTCGCATTGCGAGACTCTGGTTTAGGGCTTCGGAAGTTTAAGGTTATCAGAAAGCTGCGCAAGCACATGAGAGCCCAATTTCATGACCACCGAGTCACGCACACCTCTTTCAGAACCTTGGTATGCACCGCTCCATTCGCCGCGGGTGACCTGGGCCATCAACAAAAAAAAACGTGCAAAGCAAGGACGGGAACAGTGCAAAGCTTGAGGAAGCGCATGGCTTTACCTTCTAGGAACACAAAGCCTACGTTTAGGGTTCAGGGTTTAGGGGTTTAGGGAGGGGTTTAGGGTTTAGGGGTTTAGGGGTTTAGGGGTTTAGGGGTTTAGGGGTTTAGGGTTCAGGGTTGCAAGCCAATCGGCCCAGTAGGGCCTCGATGGGCCTCGTGAAGATGACTATGTCTTGGCTCAAGCCATGGAGTTACTAGAACATTGTTGGGATAATATTTCAACTTAATTATGGGGTTTAAGTACCCTTAAAAATGTAAAATTGTACCCAACTATGATAAAGGTTCAGAGGCCCTACTGCACACATTTGGCCCGCCCAAGTCGCGGCAGCTTTGTTTACAAACCCTTCTTGCGCGGCATTCTGAGCGCGCAAGCCTGGTCGCGCAAGCCTTGTCTCAAAAGAAGGCTATTGTTGCAAACCCTCTGTCGCGCCGTGAGCGCCGGGCGCCTGTTACAAGGCCGAACCCTTTCTGGTGGCGGACATTTTAAGAGGCTGGAGCTCTGAAAGCCCTTGAAGCCCTTCAACCCTGACCCCTTTTCAGCGGTTCTTGGCAGGGAAGAAGGGAATGACGTACGCTATATCATCCCTAAAAGGGCATATATATATATATATATAGGGCCCTAATTCCCGCATTCCCTGCTCAGAATCACGGGGACTCACCTTTCAACCCCTAGACCCTGGACCCTAAACCCTAAACCCTCCCGTGCGGCCGGGAGTCTCGGTTGCTCCGGCGCCTTGGCCTTTCAGCTCCGCCAGCCGCGGAACATGCAGTCCCGGCCACATGCACCTCAAGTCTAGGGTTTAGGGTTTAGGGTTTAGGGTTTAGGGTTTAGGGTTTAGGGTTTAGGGTTTAGGGTTTAGGGTTTAGGGTTGAGGGTTGAGGGTTGAGGGTTGAGGGTTGAGGGTTTAGGGCTTAGGGCTTAGGGTTGATTTTGGGGGCCCTATTAAAACTTGAATGTTTATTTCTTTATAAGGATTAGAAAGGGATTTTTGTGAGGGTAACAAGCAAAATATTCAAACCTACCCCTGCTCATGGGTGGGAACTGGTCTCTAGAGGGCTTAGGGTTTTAGGGCGTAGGGCGTCTAAGGGCACTTTGATGATGGAGTTCAGGACTTGCGGGGTTTGTACTGGGTTTGAGGTTATGGGTTTTAGCTTTTTTTTGTCTTTGCCACGTGCTTTAGCCGACAGTCGCCATGCAGGGCACTACATGGTACACGCGGAGGAAGAACTGCCTTTAAAGAGTAGCCGAAGGCAAAAACCCAACTGTAAAAATACCCAACGCAAGCACATCCAAGCAGCTCAGAGGCTTTGTGTGCTTTGTGTAGAGCAGCTCTCTCTCTCTCTCTCTCACGGGCTTGCGCCGTGGCTTAGAAGCTTACCCGTTATAGGGTTTAGGGCAGCTCGAAGCCCGCGGAATCTCGAGAGTTGAGGAAGGGGCCTGTAGGGTGAAGGTTCCGCCAGGTGTAGGGCAAGGCGACTGGAGATGAGAAACAGGTGGCCCTAAATCCTAAACCCCAGACCCTTTTTGCATCCAGGTCTCTTGCAGCCAGCCGGGTGACCCCAGCCCCCCCCCTCTCCCTAAACCCAAAAAGACCCCAAGAACTGCAAGGGGCCCAAGAAAAGGACCCCTACACCCTAAACCCTCTAAACCCTTAATCCTACACCCTAAACCCTCTAAACCCTCTAAACCCTCTAAACCCTCTAAACCCTCTAAACCCTCTAAACCCTCTAAACCCTCTAAACCCTCTAAACCCTCTAAACCCTCTAAACCCTCTAAACCCTCTAAACCCGAAACCCTAAACCCTAAACCCTAAACCCTAAACCCTAAACCCTAAACCCTAAACCCTACCCCAGCACTGCAAGGGGCCCAACTCCAGGGGATGAGCCGGGCTTGGGGAGGGTTTAGGGTTTAGGGTTTAGGGTTTAGGGTTTAGGGTTTAGGGTTTAGGGTTTAGGGTTTCGGGTTTAGGGTTTAGGGTTTAGGGTTCAGGGTTCAGGGTTCAAGCTGATACTGATATTGATGTTTGTACTATACTTGTGTTCTATTTTCCTTTGCATTGTAGTTTATGTTGTTCTGTTTACTTCCAAGTGTCTATGTGTGTAGGTTTTTGATCATTTTATTCCGCGTTTTTTGTACTTGCGCTCTTTATACTTGCATGTGCGTACGCATGTAGTCGACATTCCTAGACTTTAGGGTTTAGGGTTTAGACTTTAGACACAAAGTGCAATCCGACATGCCTGCCAGCAAAGACTTGCCTTCAGCCTGTATAGGCTTTCACCACTATTCTAGTTGCTGTGCACCCTGGTCCAGAAAAACGCTCACCCCTCAATCCAAAAAGTGAAAAGGGATACTTCAACTATGGTAGGATTATGTATACCTCAGCTACTAAGCTATGCTAGCCGCAAGCCGACATCAGCCAGAGGGCTACACGGAAGGTGCTGTCCACAGGTTGCCGGACATGGATGCCACAAGAGCCAGTAAGCTGCAGCAAAATAGGGTTTAGGGTTTAGGGTGCAGGGTTTAAGGTTTAGGGGCAGCACGCAGCATGCTGCGTCAGGGCGGGGAGAAAGTCTTAGGAAACATCAAAGACGCAAAGAGAGAACGCAGGAAAACAGCAGGGAGCTTCAAGAACCCAATAAACAACCCGATAACTATGAGATCCAGCCCCTTGGTCTGCAAGACGAAATCCTGGTGGCGTGACACTCCGGCCGATTCATGAGTAGCCCACCATCCTTGAAGCCTACGTCTCGCTCCAACCATCCGAGCACAGACACAAGTGATGAGAAGGCGCCGGGTGCATCCCTGCACGACTCACCTACGAACTGCTTAAGAACCCCCCCCCCCCCCCAAAAAAAAAAAAAAAACATACATACATATCCTCCCTTATAAGGGACATATGGGGATTATATCTCTTGTTTGTTTTTTTTTTTTGGGGGGGGTTCTTAAGCAAACAGTAGACTTGGGCCGAATACTTCTGGGCCCATCTGCTTCAGTCGGCACCCACCCGATTCTTGCCAAGATCATTCGGTTGTCGTGGGTATCACTGAACCCTAAACCCTAAACCCTAGACCCTAAACCCTTTCTTGGTATCACTGAATGAAGTTGTAGACTCTCTCGTTGATGGGGCTGTCCCTCCTGTGCTCGGTTTTGGGAAACGGGCATTTCCCAAAATAGGGGTACGCCTTGTATACCCCAAACAGAAAAAAACCTAAAGAGACCCCCAATACGGGTAGCCCTATTTTCGGAAACCCTGAAATGAAGACTGGGAGGGCGTCCTCCTCCCGCCACTGCTTCAACCTCGGCGTGGCAGGATGTATATAGGGTGGAGCTAGCAGGCCGAGGGCATGCAAACTGCCCAGGAGCCATCATTATGTAACTCAGCACCTACTGTGAAAAGACATAGAGACATAATGAGGATGGGAACAAGCAAGGAGAGGGAACGGGCTCTTGGACCGAAAAACATTTGTCCCGTTCAATTTGAGGCGACATGCCGCAAAAGATAATAAGCCTGGCACGTTTCTTGACAATCGGGAGCAAGAGCCCGAAAGGAACGAATCCGCAAGGTGGTCCCAACAAAGCAACCCAAAACACCAAACACATTCGGGTTTAGGGTTTAGGGTTTAGGGGTTAGGGTTTAGGGTTTAGGGTTTCGGGTTTAGGGTTTAAACCAGCCGATCTGGGTAGCTTGAGCCGCGCAAGATAACACATAGACTACCACGAAACGTCGTGGGGTTCGAATACAAGCAGGGCATTGCACATTGCGCGTGCACACATTTGCAGGTGGGGCAATGGCACATCGAGCCGTCGCAGGAAATCGAGCCGCAGCATTGCGTGATTGATCCGTAGACGGTCCTGAACACCATTCATGGCACTGCTGTCACCTGCTGAGCACGGCTATGTGCCTCTCTTGAAACATATATGCAGCCAGCAAAGGAACCCTGCCCCATTGCTTTCCGGCTCGTACGAATCATGCCGTGCGATCCTGTTGATAAAGGAATGCCGCCTGCCCAACCTGCGACTGTGCACATCTACAAAGAAGGCGGAAGTCCTCCACGTTGGAGACGCCCTGCGAAGCAAAACTGTTGAGGCGAACCGAGTTTAAGACTCCCAAGCTCTTGCTGCATTGATCCGGTTTATTGGGGTTGGCAGGGCCTTCTGCTCCACGTCTCTCAGCGTGTCCATCAAGCGTGTCTCAACCTCCATGCTGCATTCTTGTTGCACAAAAGTAACAGGTCACAGCCGCACCTATAACTAATGACACATCTTTCTAAGCATCCTGTGCTGACAGGCCTGCCCTTCCATATCGCGACGCTCGTTGAAGTTCTGAGCAACATAAGGACCTCAAGCGCACAGTGGTGCACATGGCTTGAGCATGCTTTAGCGGTGATGGCAACAATTTCTCTGGCCACTAGCGTCTCTTTTGTGCCAATGGAAGGCGGTGGGTGGCGTGCGCTGCATCACGGTGTTCCGTTGGTGTCACTATTTCTGACCATCAGTGTCTGCAAACGCACGGACCTTTAGCTCAACCCCAACATCGCCAGGCATGAAGCGATCTTTGCGCTGAACCATGCTACCTGGGTGGCAGGGAGCTCCTCCAACCAATCCTGCGGCAAACTTCCGTAGCCCAAGCGGGCTCCAAGCACAGCGCCCGCCACAGCAGCGTTGGAGTCTGCATCGCCTGCCTCCATGGAGATACTCTGGATGGCCGTCTTGAAGTCTTCCTAGGCTGGCCCTGAAAACCCTCTGAAGATATTCCTTTTGTTTTTTAAAATCCTTTTAAAGATTATTCCTGAATTTGATCCTCTTCTGATTCTAAACCCAATAAAGGAAAACAAAAAACATGTCCCAACCGCCTACCTAGCTTCGGCATGGAGGAACGCCCATGCCGCGGCACCCAAGGGTTTGTAGGTGTAGCCAATGCCGCCGGAGCCCAGCTTGAGGCCGTCGAGTCCGTCAGCAGCTATGTCCACATGGCGCAGGAGCCTCGAATGGCCCGTGAAAAAAACCCTCTGAAAAAGATTTTCTGAATAGGATCCTCTTACACCCCAATAAAGGAACTTAAAAAGAGGGGGCAAAAGGGCCTACCGAGGAGCTCGTCAATGTCGCCTCCCTTCAGGTGCTCGGCCGCTTGCAGCGCCACGGACAGGGCCAGCTCGCGGCGCTTTTCGGCGGTCCTAGTTCATGGTTGGTTCATAATAAAAAGATGTCTATTCCTTATTGGGTTTAGGTACCCTTAAACATGTAAAATGTTACCCAACTATGACAAAGGGTCGAGGTGCTGTGTCCAGCGAGGAGTTGTGCCAGCAACAGCGCAACGCAAGCACAGCTGGCCAGGCACCTCGGGTCGGCATGCGTGATTGAGGCGGAGACGATGGCATTGTGGCGTACGACCTTCTCATCCCAGAAGCAACCCAGGGCAGCAGCAGCACATCTCATGATCGCGCCGTTCGCGGCAAGTGTGCAACCACTCTCACGCCACACCACATCCGCAGCCACGCTGGGAGCCACATCAAAGGCAGTATGCTCCAGCACAGATTTCACCGTTTGCCCAATCCCGAGGCCGGAAGTGTCCCCCAACTCTGGAAAGCCCGAGCGCAGCCAGGACTTGAGGCCTTTGGCCAAATCCTCCTCGCGCAAGACGCCGTTCCCCGCCACGATGGCATCCAAGAGCAAGACCATCTGGTCCGTGTCATCCGTCCAGTCGCCCTGGACCCATCGCCTATACTCCCCTTAGAACCTTAATAAAAACAATATGCTTAATACCCTCTTGGGTTATATATAAACAAAAAAACATCGTTCTCAAGGGGGATGTAGTCGCTTCCGATGCTTGTCTTCAACTCTGGAGGCCGGGCTAAGCTGACCAGGGTACATCCTCGCGGCCTCAGCCTTGTCCATGAACTCCGTGCTCAGGCCCACGGCATCGCCCAGGGCGCATCCCCACAGGAGGCCCTTCACCTTGTCCGACAGCTCTGCAGCTGTGAGATCCGTGTGCACTCCCGGGAGAACCGTCGGAGGATCCGCCTGCGGAGCCGGGCAGAGCACCGGCTTCGCCGGGAGCTCGTAGCGGCCGCAGATCAGCACGTCGGCCCCAGCTTGGGCCTGCTTTTGAAGGTTCATGGGTGCTTAGAAGTAGGGTTGTAAGTGCCCTAAGTGGGGTTAAAGAATGTTATAGATATATGTTAAAGAATGTTGTAGATATATAATAAATTAACTGCCATACTTCTTCTGGCCCTACTGATAGCTACCCATGAACCGCTAAGTGGTTCCTGCTGGCATATGCGTGGCATCGCTGCGTCATCCAAGGGCTGCGCGTCTCCCCCGTCCACGCTGAAGCTGAAACCGGGGCAGAAGTCTGAGTGTTGAAGAATTGGGAGCAGACTCTCCAAACGATGCTTGAGTGCCGATGTCGTACAAGTCAGGCTGTGAACTTCCGCACGTGCCAAGTAGCTATCATCGGTGGCATTCCATAAAGTCACAATACCCATCCTTGCAAGTGAACCCTAAAGGAGTTTAGGGTTCGTATACCTTAATAGAGGAATATAGTAGCATAGGGTACATGACCCCAATGTTAGGGCTCTTTAGGGCTGAATCGGGACAAAAGGAACCTATAGGCCATGTGAGACCCCCAATTTTAGGGTTCATGTGGTCCCCAAGGATCTCCGCAAATCGCGCTTCCACCTTGCAGTCGTCGGCGTTGCTCGCCAGGAATGTCTGCAAGTCGGCGTCGGACTGTATGGCGGCAAGGTCCAAGCGCTCAAAGCCGTCATCGTAAACGAAGGTGACATCCACAATCGATCCCTCATGCACACCCAGGACTTCCGATATCAGCCCGGTAACCTGAGTGGGACAAACTCCGGTCAGATCCTTGGTACCCACATTATATTGAGGGAACTTTTTTTGGGCTGCTTTCTTTATAAAGGAGCCCAGAACCGAAAAAAGTTTAGTGGATGGGACCACTATTATGCGATTTTCCGATCCGCTTATACAAAACCCCCCATTGTTTAGGGGGGTTCACAATTATGCGATGTTGTCCCGGCCGGGGTTGAAGGGCGGGGGGCCGGGGAGCCAAAAACTAAACAAGTTTTGAATAAGAAACTCCGGAATTTTTTGGTGTCCAGCCTTATTTAAATTCCTTTTAAAATTTCATTACGAAACAGGCCCCCAAACAATTTTCCAAGGGAGCAGCCCACGAGCTGCCCTGATTCGCTTTAGCAAGTTGTTTCGGTGGTCCGCATTTATGCGGAGCCCCGGCGGCCGTGGAGCTACAAAGTCTGGAAAGCTTAGACCCTCAAGCTTCAAGGCTTCCCCTCAACCCTCGACCCCTAGCCGCCCCACCCCCAGCCCCGTCCCAGCCCCAGCCCACATTATTAAGGATCCCCGAAAACCCCAAAATTGTTTGGGGGGAGGGGGGGGGCCCTGCGCACTAAAGCGAGTCCAACATTAAAGGGCACCACTGCACCACTGGGCTACCGAGGATCCACATAGACTGACTGGGGCTCGAAAGGTTCACCGATGTCCGCGACGGTCACAAGCACCTCTCGTCTGCGAGGATGCCTCTCCTGGGGCAGGTTTGGGTGCCTCTTTAAGGCTTTGTAAGCATTATAAAGGTAATAATAGTTCTTTATAAGGAGTATATAGGGATTATAAAGTAAAATTTATGTTCAAACCTGCCCCTGTCGCGTAGAACTCCCGCAGGAGCTGGAGCTCGGTGCCCATGACATTCAAGCCACCTCCATCTGGGCCGACGCCGAAGTATGGGTCGGCCGGGTTGCCGTAGACTATGCGCGTTCCCTTTGGTATGCTCAGGAGCAAGTTGCCTCACTTGTGGGATTGAAGAATAAATTCTCTTGTGACGTGATGTGACGCGCGAAGCTCAAAAGCAAGAAAACAAACAAAAGTCGACTTTAACATACTTTAATATTCGCTAGTATACTTTAATATACTTTCACATACTTTAACCGCTCAAGCTGCGGAGCTCGGAATGCGCCCAAAACTTCTCCAGCAAGGCCCGGCGCAAGCGCACGGCCTTAATCTCATCCCAGTCAGGCCGCAGAGGGCTCAAGGTGCGACCCAGATGCTTGGCCACTCCTGGCTCCAGGGCTCTACGAACCTGCTCCTGCAATTCGGGCTCCGCAAACTTCCCTGCTTGAAAGTAATGCTCCGCACTGGGCCACCATATCCGCACGTGCGATGCCGGGTCTTGCGTCCAGAAACTGTGTCCTTGCGCGAAGTTCTGGAGGGAACTGAAACGATGGTCGGCAAATATGTCCACCGCTGGTGTCCCAGCCATGCTAATCACGGGAAAAGTGGCGGAAACCTGTACGCTTATTTGTTTCGCGAATTGTTGCGAATGCAACTGAACATGACTTACTCGACCCGGCCTTGGGTGCACAAAGGAATGCCAATGTGTGTCTGAACTGCTGAGGAGCACATATGCCGCAAAAATGACGCGCGTGATCTACACACATCGTTAAACCAAAAAAACAACTTCTTTCTGTTCTCGACTTAAACATGAAAACACGTGCTGCTGTCGCATTGTCTGGGGCGCGCACCGAGCCCTTCAGCCAACACCAGCTTTATGCCCTGGCAACAAGCGGCATCAAACATGACTACGGAGGCCATTGCAACTTTCTTCTGCAGATCATTGTGAATTTGGCACGCTGCGTCAGGTCAATGCCGCATCGGAAATTGAAAATACGATGTGGCCTGGTGGCCTACAACCATGTCGAAGCCGTCTTCGCCTGAAACGGATGGCTTGAAACTGACTGAAAGTCCAATCTGGCACTGGCACGGTTGCTGTCAACACAAGGGCTGTAGTCCTGCCGTGCATCACAAAGTGCTGGGTCATTGCCATGGCAAGTTCACACCGTCGTCCAAGCAACATGGTGATGCCTCCAGCTCGACGCCTGTCCAAGCATCAGTAAATGTCGAAGGAAACGCTTAGGCAATGACTCGCCCAAGTTGTTTCAGCAGCGTTCGTACGAAGGTGTGATATGATGAGATCACAGAACGTTGTCTGACACAATGCAATGCGCTACATTGCGCTACACCAAATCAAAAACAAAACGCAACACAACACAACAAAGCAAAACAACAAAGCAAAACAAAGCAAAACAAAGCAAAACAAAGCAAAACAAAGCAAAGCACAACAAAACATAACAAAGCGCAGCGAAACACACACACACACACACACAAAAAAAAAAAAAAAAAAAAACGAAAACACAACGAAAACACAACGAAACAAAAGAAATAAAACAAAGCAAACTAACACAAAACAAACCAAACCGGAACAACGCAAAACAAAACAATGCGAAACAAAACGAAACAAAGCAACACACAACACAACACACAACACAACAAACACAACACAACACACACAACACAACACACACAACACAACACACACAACACAACACACACAACACACAACACACAACACACAACACACAACACAACACACACACAACACACACACACAACACAAAACACACAACAACAAAAAACACACAACACAAAACGCACAACACAACACACACACAACACACACACACAACACAAAACACACAACAACAAAAAACACACAACACAAAACGCACAACACAAAACACACAACACAAAACACACAAAACAAAACACAACACATAACACACAACACAAAACACACGACACAACACACACGACACAACACACACAACACAACACACACACAACACACACACACACACAACAAAACACAAAAAAAAACACAAAACACAAAACACCAAAGCACAAAAAAAAAAACACAAAACACAAATCACCAAACACAAAACACAAAACACAAAACACGAAACACGAAACACGAAACCCAAAACCCCAAACCCAAAACACAACACCCAAACACACACACACACACAACACAACACCCAAACACACACACACACACACACACACAACACAACACCCAAAACACAAAACCCAAAACACAACACACAACATAACACCCAAAACACAACCAACACAACACCCAAAACACAACACAACACCCAAAACACAACACAACACCCAAAACACAACACAACACCCAAAACGCAACACAACACGCAAAACGCAACACAACACCCAAAACGCAACACAACACGCAAAACGCAACACAACACGAAAAACACAACACAACACGCAAAACACAACACGCAACACAAAACATGCAAAACACAACACGCAACACGCAAAACACAACACGCAACACGCAAAACACAACACGCAAAACACAACACACAACACGCAAAACACAACACGCAACACGCAAAACACAACACGCAACACACAACACGCAAAACACAACACGCAACACGCAAAACACAACACGCAACACGCAACACGCAAAACACAACACGCAACACGCAACACGCCACACGCCACACGCAACATGCAACACGCAAAGCACCACAGGCAACACGCAAAACACAACACGCAACACGCAACACACAAAACAAATGTTACTGAGCAATACCATGCAGTCCCATACAACGCAATGCTGTGCAATACTGTACAACGCCACGCAAAACCATATGTCTAACCCCCTCCCCCTAATACTAACAAACCCCACCCTACTTGTGAATATTTTTCCGGACCCTCCCGGCACCCAGCCCAATCCTAAACCTGTTTAAGAACTAGGGGGGGGGGTCGAGGCCTCCGCCCTTGAGTTGAGCCATTAGGTTTTCAATCAGGGTTTAGGGCTTGCGATGGCTTAAGGCTCAGAGGATTTGCAGGGTTTAGGGCTCAGAGATACTCAATCCCCCCCCCCCATAATTCTAAAACTCGCTTTGGGCCAGAACATATATGTTTAAAATTAGGGGGGACCTAAACATTGAAGCCTGAAACCTGAAGGCTGGGAAAGAAGGTGTGGGTATAGGGTTGGGGGTTTAGGAATCAGGGTAAAATAAAGATTTGCCATAAGCCCTAAACCCTAATTAACCCTTCCTGTGCGCAGCTCTTCGCTGGACCTACCTGCTGCCGGAACTCGTCGCTGGGTACTGCGAAGTCCGGTCCCGTGGGCAACACAGTCATGGCGCAGCTCGCGCCGGGACCGCATTGGGACCAGCAGCCCTCGCGATGCGGGGTCAAGGTCTGGAAAAACATCTCGAGCTCGCGCTTCTCCACTGCGGCCCCGTCACAGTGCTACCAGCTTTCTGCATGGCCATTGGGCCTGTTCCGCCGCATACTGGGCGGCATGGCGCAGCATCGGGCGCAACAGGTTCGCTAGCACCTGCGGATGAAATTCCCGGAGCGCCCCGACGGAGTCTGCCCAAAAGGCCCAGTATGCCGCGTGCCGGTGCGCCTTGGTCGACGGCCGGTTGATTCTGCTCCTGCGCCTTCTTCGCATGCCGCTGCCGCTTGCGCCCCAACGATGCCGCTGCGGGGAAGCATTGGACGAGTACGGGGACCACAGGTCAGCGTGTGCTCAGGTGGGGGCGCTGGCACAACGAGGCTGGGCCCCCGCATTTGCCGAGAGCCGGGGCGTGCGTCGCCACCAGCACAGCGTTTCGCGATTTTTTTTCCCCCACGCTGCGCCTCTTTTGCCGCATCCACTTCGCGGTCCCAGTGAAGTAGCCCACAGCCCAAACAGCCTACAGATACCTACGGCTGGCGATTGGCAAGGGGGGACTGCTCTTCTGAGTCAGCAACGATGTCGCCGATGAGAAGCGGTTCTCCGAGCAAGCGGCATGACAAACAGGGCGGCTGTTTTACCTCTCGCACCTTCTTTCTGCTGGTCACGGCGCAAAAGCAAGGCTTGGAAGCCATCACGGGACGCGGCTGGCAATGGGGACGGCCAACGCAGCATGAAGGCAGAGATGGCTGCGGCCCAGCAGGTGGGTGGGACTGCCCACGCCCGGCACCGAGCAAGCAAGCGGACGAAGTTGGCGGGCTCATTGCTCCAGCGCCCTCCAACTTCAAGTGCGACGACGGTAAGCCTGCAGCAGAGGGCGCGGCAGAACACGGATTTTTTTCTCCTGGACCTCCCCGCAAGCGAGGGGTACAGGTGGCTGTCGACATTACGCTTGTCAGCCCGGTCGAGCACAACGGACAGGCGCGCCCCGGGTGCGAAGCTGTGCCGGGACGGCGCTCCAGCAAGCGGCAGCGCGTAAGCGACGCACGTACCGTGCCTGAGCTCCGCCTCGACAGCCGCGGCCGCTTCGGAACGGAGGCACTCGATTCCATACAGCGTTTGGCGCGACGGCGAAGCATGGAGCTCTGGTGCAGCAGGGCGTGCGTATGGGTCTCGCTTCGCTGGCGGCGCTGAGAACCCACGCAGCCACGTTGCTGGAGCTGCCCCATCAACGCCAGTGACAACGCCGAAGTGCCGGTCGGCAAACCAAAGCATCACTATAGAATGTTATTTGCGAACCGGAGATCGATCATTTTGTCAAACCCATGTACAGATCCCAACTTGCTGCTGCATGGTATTCTGGTATGGTTTTGTTTGGTCAATGGTGTGCTATGGTATAATATGGAATGGTATTGTAGTATATGTGTGTATGTGTGTATGTGTGTGTATGTGTGTATGTGTGTATGTATGCGTGTATGCATGTATTTGTGTGTGTGTATGTGTGTATGTGTGTATGTGTGTATGTGTGTATGTGTGTATGTGTGTATGTGTGTATGTGTGTATGTGTGTATGTGTGTATGTGTGTGTGTGTGTGTTTGTTTTTTGTTTTTCTATTTTGCGCCTGCGCGACCGCGCGCAGTTGCAACGTTTGATGCGTGAACTACGACAAGCTGGAGTGTTATTAACTGCAAGCAAAACCGACTTTGACGACGACCTGGAATGGATCCGCTCGAAGAAGTTGCCATACCTGGGTTGGGATCTCGAAGCGGGACGTTTTGGGGGCTCCGGCCTCCCGGCAGATGGCAGCACGCTCACTGCGGGCTCTAGGGCCCCGTGGCACGAAGGGCGCCTGACCGCGGACATGCTGCGAAGTGGTCAACATGCAGTTCCAAGGCCGAGGATGTCGGGTAGGGGACTGCGACCGCCGCCGCCAAGAGCGCGGGCATCGTCTGCCCGCCCACAACGGCGCTGCACGTGGCCATTGCGAAGATGCCCTACCATGCCGGCTTAGCGCGCGGCGCCGCGGACGTGCGCATGTGCCGCACGCAGCCGGACGAAGAACCGGCGCAGGAGGGACTCGCAAACCGCGCTGCACCATGCTCCCCCGACACACAAGCACTGGGCCCCTCCGCCCTCGAGCTCACGATAGCGGGCTTATTGTTTGCGCCGCCGTGCCGCCGCCAGGGCGACGCCACCGCGTCAGG